CGCTCGAATGAATTTTATTATTTCTTCAAGGTACTTCACATACGTACACCTTAGGAGATATCAAGTATGCGTAACATGTTCTCAAAACATTAGGGTTGGCACGCAGAAGAATTTTGAGTCAGAGATTTTGCTGGTTTTGGCACGAACTCACAAAAAGGCTGCCCACCCCTGACCTAGGCTTTTAGTAGTATAGTTAATAAAGCATGCATTTGAATGTATCAATTCATAGCTAACTCTAGCCTTAAGGTAAGGAATTATAGTGTAAATAGTCAAGTATTTATATACAAATAAGAAGGGCCATAGGCAAGAAAAGCTGGGCTGAAGCTGGAATCCCTGGGGAAGCCAATAGTTTCTCAAGCACGAGTGTGGTTCAACCAGGTGAAGAGGTCTTCTCTTCCTTGTTTCCCCAATACACTCAGTCCCTGAGAACTGGAAGACACCTCCTCCCTCAGGGGTATAGGTTATTCTGGTGCTCTGACCTCTTGGCTCACCAGTTATAACACTAGTGGTCCGGTGCATGAAATTCATGCACATTAAAAAAGAATGCGAAGAAATATTTTAATATTGTTATTTGCTCTTTCTCTATAATAGAAGTGTCAGAGATGAAAGAAATTAGTAAAATGTATATAAAATTTCCCTCCTGTCCGAGTCTGGGGCATGCTGCGGGACCTAGAGTCAAGTCCCTGCCCATCACCCTCATGCACTTCAAAAACGCAGGAGACCCAGACCCAGCCGGCCACATCCCCACTGGGTGAGACCTAGTCCCAGCTGGCCACACCCCTGACAAGCCCCTCCAGGTGGGGGCACATCCTCAGGCTTCCCAGACTGGTGCGGGTGCGGGGGATGTGGCCAGAGGTTCCCCTTCAACCCGCACTAGGTAGGGGGCACAGCCTGAGGTTCCCATCAAGCCCTGCCAGGTGGGGGGCATGGCCTGAGGTCCCCAGGACCAGTGCTGGGGGGGAGGCGCAGTCTGAGGTCTCCCGGCCAGGCACCAGGGCAGGGGGCCCAGTCTGAAGTCTTCTAGCCTGGAGCCGGGGCAGGGAGCATGGCCTGAAGTTCTCCGTCAAGCCTTGTGGGCCGGGGGCATGGCCTAGGTCCCCCGGCCCAGTGCTGGGGCGGGGGGCGCAGTCTGAGGTCTCCTGGTCCAGAGTCGGAGCGGGGGACATGGCCTGAGGTCCCCCATCAAGCCCAGCCTCCCCACTCCACCCCCCCACCCCCGCCTAGCATCATACCAGTGCTGAATGAGGATGCACCCAGGCAATTTGATGTTAGTGCTGGGGGCAGAAGTCCCCGCCCCTGGCCCTGCCCACAGACTAGTTGTGACTGGGACACCATAATGGACTAATTAGAATATTATCTCTTTATTATATAGGCTAGAGGACTTTTGCATGAAGAGATTTGTGCAATAGGCCTTCCCTTCCCTTGTCTGCTGGCACCAGTTTTCCTCTGGCACCCGGGACCAAGGCCTTTGCTCTGGCTGGGCTCAGGCCAGATCCCCACCCCAGCTACCAGGTCTCGGGACTCTCCTGATCCTGGGGCTGGGAGGCCTCGGGGCTCTGCTGATCCCGAGGCTGGGAGGCCTCGCGGATACGCTTGGTGCCGGGGCTGGGAGGCCTCACTGCTCAGCTGGCTTCGGGGCCATTTGGCTTCACTCCACCACTTGGAGCCTATGTATGCAAATTACCCAACATCTTTGTTGGCAGTTAATTTGCATATTGTCCTGATTAGCCAATGGGAAGCGTAGCGAAGGTACCGTCAATTACCCTTTTTGTCTTTTATTAGATAGGATATTTGACCACCTATC